CTTGCTTCTCATTTTTTGTTAAGTAAGGATCAGTCTCCCAAGACTGAACCTGAAATCTCTGAAATGAAAAATGTGCCATATGCCAATGCCATTGGCTCTGTTATGTACTTGATGGTTAGTACTAGGCCTGACATTGCATATTCTGTGAGTTGCTTGAGTAGATATATGTCTAATCCAGGTTTGCCTCACTAGGAGGCACTAAAATGGCTGCTTAGATATTTGAAAGGTACTGTTAAAACTGGTTTGATGTTTTCTAAAGGCAAAACTGAAATTGAACTATGTGGTTATGTGGATTCAAACTTTGCCAATGATAGGGACAATAGAAAATCATCTACCTCTTATGTGTTCACCTTAAATGGTGCTTGTGTTAGTTGGAAATCTCAACTCCAAAACATTGTTGCTCTGTCTACTACTGAATCTGAATATATAGCTGCTACTGAAGCTATAAAAGAAGCCATTTGGCTTAAAGGGCTGCTGTTGGAAGTTGATATGTTTAGTTCCAAAGTGGTAGTATTTTCTGATAGTCAATCTGGCATTCAACTGTGTAAAAACCCTGTTTTTCATGATAGAACTAAACACATTGATGTGAAGTTCCATTTCATTAGGGATGTAGTTGAAAAAGGGGTTATTGACCTTGAAAAAATCCCACCCGAGTTCAATCCAGCTGACATGGGAACAAAATGTCTGCCTTCTGAAAAATTATGTTCTTGTTTGAAAAACTTGAACATTCTTTCCAAACCTTGACTTGCTTTGTGCTAGTTTGTAGTCTGTGTGACTTGGTATTTATGCTTTCTTAGTGATTGCTTGTTTAATGTTCTTCTGTGTGAATGAGATTGTGCTGTCTATGTGATTGCATTACTGCATTTTATTCTAAATGCATATAAGTTGTATTCTGAGTGAACACAACTTGATATACTTGTATGAACTGTGTGCTCTTACTGGTGTGTCAAAAATCAGCAATGATGACTTCCATATTTTTTTTAGAAATTTTCACTAATGATTCACATTTGGTCCAAGGTGGAGAATTGTTGGTTTTTTGGCCCAAATGTGTTTTGAGCCATAGAGCCCAATTGCCATCAGTTTTTGTACACCACCATATTGAGTTAAGCCCAAGTTATTTATAAGTGAGCCCAGTCCATTTCTGAGCCAAATCCATCCGTTGGATTTTAGGCTGAATCTGGACCGTCCAGTGCCTCACTTAAATACCCCTTTCTCTCTCTTCACTTCTCTCATTCTGAAACCCTAGCCCTTTCTCCATTCTTCTCCGCCGCTCCTGCTTCTGTCTTCTTCTTCCCTTGTACTGCCTTGACTGAGTTATGGCTGGAGGTCAAAGCACATGGTACAGTGCTGACTTTGACCCTACGGTACAGCCTTCACCGGCTCTATTTGACTTCAGACTCTATATATATTGGCATGAAGGCTGGAAAAGGATAAGATACAGATAAAACCTTAATCCGACCTAAATCCCTCAGTTTTCTACTTCGTGAGTTCTGAAATTGGGGTTTTGGTGAGTGGGTAAGCTTGAGTGCTTGATCTGTTCTTCCTTTGTGGTTTTCTGGGTAATCTAGGGTTTGAGTGTTGTGAGAGAGAGAGAAGATCTGTTCTTCTTGAGGTACTCTGGTGGTGTATATTGAGAGTGTGAATCTCTGGTGTGAAATTGGAAGACTGAGCTGAACATCTCAATCTATTTATCTTTCAATTTATTCATACCTTTTATCATTTTTTCTTTCGTTTATAGATATCTATCTATGTATCTATTCTCCTTGGCAGTGATCAATACTGCTTAAGGGGAATTTATATAATTACAGTAGGTTTGATGGAGCTGGGCAGTTTGATATCCTACAGTCTTTTTAAATATGGCAAATTACGGCCACCTCTAAAGTATGGTCAAATTATAAAAAAAACCCTCTTGTTTAGGTAATTACAGTCACTCCTTCTTTTAAATATTTTTACATAAAATTTATGTAAATCGGTTATTTACCGAACCAAATCGTATATTTAGTTCGGTAAACGGTATGAAATGTTGGCCTACCGAAATTTCGGTTCAATTTTACGGAATTAACATCCCTAAATTTATCTATGGAGAGGTCTTTTCGTAAGATAATACATAGTTGATGGGGTGACTGTAATTACCCAAACAAGAGGGGAATTTTCGTAACTTGGCCATAACTCAGGGGTGGCCGTAATTTGTCCTTTTAAATAATACATTCACAATATTTTAGTATTACCATTACCTTTCTTTTAAATAATACATTCACAATATTTTAGTATTACCATTACCCTTATGAGGGTAAAATTTGTCTTCAAAAGGAGCATAAATAAACGGTAAGTCTGCAAAGGTAGAATTGACATTTTTCGAAAAATATTCCATGAAAATCTATGCAACAAGGGGTTAGTGTAAAACATAAACAAAGCTCAGAAGATTTTGATAATTACCGAAGTAATGGAGTTTTTTTATAATTTAGCGTAAGTTCAAGCTTGTTTTCATAATTTACCATTCAAATTATATATCAGAGTTTAAGATTCCAAATCCAATCATTAGAATTGGATTCTCCTTTATAAAGAAATTTTCACAATTATGTCATATTTTAGTCAATGATTTCCTTTCATACCTTAAAAAAAAAAAAAAATCAGATTAACAATATATTACCGGAATATTAATAATAAAATGGACCAAAATTTTAATTTTCTTCCCTTTTTTGCCCTTTTGGTGTTTTTGAGGTTGTAAATTTAATTGTATACCAATCTCGAGGAAGAAGATGAATCATTTAATATATATATAAATATCAAAAAAATTAATCAAATAAATACAAAAGAGTGGCGTTGAAGCAAAATCTTTGCTATTTTGATGATTTTTTTATTTTATTTTTTTCATTATTTTTAATTATTTTTAATATTTTAATTCTTAATTGTTTGTTTATCGGAGAAAAAACAGCCAACTAGAAACTTAAACCTGTAAGCAAATTCCGACGCCATTGTTACACATGTAAGATCCCAGAAAGTTTATATTTGCGGCAACCCCAATGCATGGCAAACCCTAATACGTCATCACACATATACAATCAGATTCTGTATCTATCTTCTTCCTCCAATTTCAGTTCCTGCGTTTCAAATTCAACCAAGGTAATTAATTCAATTAAATTAAATTCTCTTTTTTTTTTCAATTTTAATTCTTGATTCTGCCCTTAAATGTTTTTTTTATGTTATAATTCATTGTTGCTTGTTGTTTGTTTTTTAATTAATCCTCGTATATTGCATAATTTTTTGTCTGAATATTATGAATTTTTGGTATATTTGCAGGAGAATTGATTGATTAATTAATTAATTAATTGATTAATTAATTAATCAACTGGATTTTCGATTCTTGAATTATTTTCTGGGGATTGATATTTATGGGTAACGAATATTTCAATCACAGATGTAAAGTAGAAACAAAAAGAATCATATGGCTGATTGGTTTGATTTTTGCATCAGTTTTAATAATTCAGCATTTTGAGTTACCCTATAGGGATCAAAGCATGCTCTCCTTGTTATTTTCTGGCAAATCCCATTTCGATAATAATAATCGAAATAACTCGACGTCAGTGACAGAGTCGGAAAATGCGATAGATGAATCTTCTTCGTATGAATTATCGAACGAAGACGAAGTTGGTTTGATTAGTAGTATTAGTCCGTCGTCGTCTCTTAGTTTCGGAGAAAACGGTTCGATTTCGATTTCGATTCCGCCCGAGAATTCAAGAATTGGTGGCGGACCCACAAGCCCGGATATTTCACCGGGGCCCGCGATTTCGCCTTCTCAATCGGTTTCTCCGATAATTAATAAGCAAATAAATGACGAGAAATCGAAGGAGAGTGATGTTATTGTAAGTCCTCTGACAAAGGAAATTCCATCGGTGCTATCGGTATCCGAGATGAAGGATACGTTGATCCGTAGTCGTGTTTCTTCGTTTTCAAAGGTACATTGAGCTTTTATTAACTAGTTTAAGAAATTGAAATATATATTTTTTATGTATATATATATAAAGAGAAAAATCGTATTATTATGCAGAGTCCACATTGGCCTTCGAAAGCCGATCAAGAATTATTAGAAGCAAGAATCCAAATTGCGAATGCACCAATCATCGGGAATCATCCCATCTTACATGCCCCTATTTATCGGAATCTCTCCTCGTTTGTAAGGTCGAAATTTCACAAATTTATTTTTCAATTTTAGTAATTTCAATTTTTTTTTTTATTATTATTGAACTTTCTTTCATATTTAAAATGCAGGAGCTACCAAATCATGGAAGAGATGCTCAAGATTTACATCTACAAGGACGGTAAAAAACCCGTTTTTCATAAGCCACGTCTCAAAGGAATATACGCTTCCGAGGGGTGGTTCATGAAGCTTCTAGAAGAAAGTAAACAATTTGTGACCAACGATCCGTTACAAGCCCACTTGTTTTACTTACCGTTTAGCTCTCAACTATTGGTGGATTACGTATACGTCCCTGATTCTCACTCTTTTCACGAAATAAACGTGTACCTTAAAAACTACCTCGACGCAATCAAAGGAAGGTACCTCTTTTGGAATAGAACCGATGGGATGGACCATTTCCTCGTCGCTTGCCATGATTGGGTAATTATGCATTATTTTTTATTTTTTTACACATAGAAAACACACGAAAATCGAAAATTATAGATAATTTTGATGATATATATATTTGTATACTGTGTGTTTCATTGCTATTGGTACTATATATAGATATATGATTTAGCCCTTCTTCGGTTGGGAGTGTAAGCCGTGATTTATTACATAGTTAGATCCGATTTGGTGTTTGGTCAAATTCGATAACTTTTCGAGTTGGTCCGAAATGCCTTAAAATTTTGCCCTTATGTATTAGGTATCGGATCTTCTTCGATTGGGCTATAAAACTGGGTCAAATTTAAAAAAAAAAAATTAGGGCCTTGTTTGGGTGGTGAGAGTTGCTATGATTAATTAAATAATTTGAGTTTATTGGATGTTTGGTTAGTCAATTGCAGAAAAAAATGCGTTTAATCTTGGCTGAATGGGAGATTAATTGAAAGATTAATTAGTTATTGGACCTCTCTGAGTCCAAATTACTTATTATTATTTAATCTTATCTTCGCCGATCTTATATTGAACCAAACGAGGTCTTACATGTTACATCAATTTATGTTCCTTTCAGGCACCGATAGAGACTAGGAAACTCATGGCAAATTGCATACGCGCATTATGCAATTCCGATATCAAAGAAGGCTTCCGACTCGGAAACGACGTCTCCCTTCCGGAAACAAAGGTGCCCTCGCCTCAAAAGCCACTGGCGAAAATCGGGGGCGCCCCTCCCTCGGACCGAAAAATTCTCGCATTTTTCGCGGGTAAAATGCACGGTTATCTCCGTCCGATACTATTAAAATATTGGGAGAATAAAGATCCCGATATGAAGATTTTCGGTCGGTTGAAAAAGGATAGCTACGCTTGGCACATGAAGAATAGCAAGTATTGCATATGCGCCAAGGGCTACGAAGTGAATAGCCCTAGGGTTGTTGAGGCACTTGTGAACGGATGCGTGCCGGTGATTTTGTCGGACAATTTTGTCCCTCCGTTTTTCGAGATTTTGGATTGGGAATCGTTTGCCGTCTTTGTTCTTGAGAAGGATATTCCGAATTTGAAGAATATACTCGTCTCGATTTCGGAGAGTAGGTATGTTGAGATGCAGCGTAGGGTTACGCAAGTGAGGCAGCATTTTCTTTGGCATAGTACACCTTTGAAATATGATTTATTTCATATGGTGCTTCATTCAATTTGGTATAATAGAGTTATGAGGCTGTCTGCTTAGTAATGAACTTGTTATCTGAATTAAAAAAAAAGTTTATTTATTTATTTTTAATTGCAAATTAATGTATTAAATATTTGAAGAATAATGTATACCAATATGCTCAAAGAAGCATCAAATTTAGATGATATGATTTGATTGAACTACAGTTAAGAAAAGGTTTAATTTGAATATATGTAAATATTGTTATTATTTATAGATTAATATTGAATATTTTTTATTAATTATTATTTTAGTGGTATTTCAAAGAATAATAAGTTACAATGATTTTTTTTTAAACATGAAGTTATAATTGAAGGCCATATTATACAGCACAATTGCCAGGTATACACTTATTTACAAATTACACATGGAGTTCAAAAAAAAATAATTGTTTAAATTTTTATATATGGTAAATTGCGGCCACCCTTTGATGTATGGTCAAATTACGAAAAAAGAGCTTTTATGTTTGTGTAAATATTAAATATATATTATTATATCATTTTAAAAGGTAAATTTACCTTTTCTTTTTTGCCCTTTTTCGTGGAGAAAAATAAAATCCTTTTAAAGTATCATAGGAATTTTATTCTTGCAAGGAAAGTTACATTATCAATCAAATCCTTATTTAAATACAATTCTTTTAAAAATTAATAAATAAATAAATTAAGAGCCCCTATAAAAATCGACACAACTTGTAAAAACCCTAAAACCCTGTTTCGATTTTTGCGGCAGTTGATAAAATCATGGGACTTCTTTCTTGGTTCTACGGTTCCAAACAACAGAAAAAGGAAAACACGGCGGCGCGTAAGCCCCACGACTCTTCTGAAGCGCCGGCCAAGGAAAATACGGCGGCGCGTAAACCCCACGAGCCTTATGAAGAAACGGACGACGAAAACACGGCGGCGCGTGAGAGCCACGAGTCTTCTGAAGCGTCGGAGATGAACGGAGCAGTGGAGGTCCGACGACACAACCCGCCGCCAATCGACGTGACGGTTCTGGAAATCGGGACGGCGGATAAGGAGGTCCTAGCCGGGTACTGCCCTGTATCCAATGTGATCGAGCCTTGCACTTGGAAGGTTCTCCCGGCGCGTGAGGACTCTGCGAAGATTCGAATTGTTTTTTGAGTTATATATAATAATAATATATAGAACATAAATCGTGGTTTCTTTGTCTGAAATTTGACATGTTTTTTTTTTTAGGTTAAAAGCGTTTTTTGCATGTTTATTTATTTGCATTGAGAATTAACTTTTTATTTTTATTTTTAGATGTTATTAGATTTATATTTTGAGGCTTTCTTTTTTCATGTCATTCATAATTGCGTCTACTTCGATATCGGGTGCCAAAGAATCGAGTCGAGCTGAATAAATGGTTGTTCAAGTTTATTTGAAATATTATCGAGTTCTGAAAATCGTATTTGAGCTTGATTTGATTAATTTTTCGATCGAGTTCGAACTAATTAGTTTGATTTTATTCTTACAATGTTTATATACAATGTATATTTGTGCATAGTGTGGTAAAAATCAAGAATGAGAATATAATTGATAATCACTGTGTGTTGTGTGTCTTTTTTTTGATAAGTTCTGTGTGTTGTGTGTCAGAGTACAATAAAAATGGTGGAAAATTTGCAAGCAGAAAAGGGTACACACACAGGTCAAAGGTCAAACTTATTACTGCCTCTTTTCATTTCTTTCTCTTGTCAGATATATTTATTTAGGGGATGGGTCAAAAACTAATTTTATAAATAAATTAAAATAATTTTGTAAAACTAAAAGTTTGCATAAAATCTCAACATAAATGGGAAATTACTGTTCTCACCCCTCAAGTTTGCAATGATTCCACATTTGGTCCTCCATATTCATAAAAAAAAATTGGTCCGTCATGTTCCAATAATTTAACATTTTTGGCCATTTCCGTCAATTTACCGTTAGTTCGTTAGTTAAGGCAGTGATAGGCACACACTTGATTCCGTTAGTTTTAACGGAACATTGACGGAAATGACCAAAAGTGTTGAATGTTTGAAACATAAGGGAACCAAATGTGGTTTCTGTGAACATGGGGGCCAAATATGAAATAAGTGCAAACTTGAGGGACAAAACTGTATTTTTCCCCAACATAAACATAGTCACAAGATAGCAATGAAGATCATCCGATTTATTTCACCGGATGTATCATCTACAATAATATGTTTACATGTGTTATATTGTTATGGGTAAATTACACTTAGTACCCTTGAGGTTAGATATAATTAGCGTCAGACCCCCTCTAAAGTTTATAAAATTACGCATGCGGCCCTCTTTGAGATTTATAATTAGCTTTATAAATTCTAAAAATTTAGCAAATTACATTTTCCTCCCCTAATGTTAGGTCTAATTGCATATACGCCGTTCTTACTCCCTTAATAATATTAATAGTTTTGTAATAAGATAGTAAAAGTGTTCTTGGTGATTATGACCTTACGTCCATAACATCTATCTATGGACTATATATATTCCTTCAATTTCTCTACTAAATAAATTAAATCTTTTTGTAAATCATTTTTTTAATTCAACCACTTCTCTCTCTTCATCTCTCTCTCTCTCTCTCTCTCTCTCTCTCTCTCTCTCTCTTGGAGGAACAACTGTATTTAGTACATTTCCTAGTATGGAAGTGTAAAATATCACATATATATTCACACACTCTTGAACAACTGGTTGCGCCGCCTCAAACTATATATAGTAAGTCATGGTTGCGCCGCCTCAAACTAGCTCCGGCGACAACGAGTTGTTCTCAAACTTATTATCATCATCATCATTAATTTTATCCCAAACACAATCTCTGCAGCGCGACGACGCCGCCGCGAAGGGGCAGGCGGCGGCGGCGGTGGCGCCGGAATCCGGCAAGAAAATCAAGAGGATTCGAGAAAGCACCGCCACCGCGAGCAACAGCAGCAGACACCCGGTGTACCGGGGAGTCCGAATGAGGAGCTGGGGCAAATGGGTTTCCGAAATCCGGGAGCCCCGCAAGAAATCGCGTATATGGCTCGGCACTTTCCCCACCCCTGAAATGGCGGCGCGTGCCCACGACGTGGCGGCGCTGAGCATCAAGGGCGCCTCCGCCACTCTCAACTTCCCAGAGCTCGCGGCCGCCCTCCCACGCCCCGTCTCCCTCAGCCCCCGCGACGTCCAGGCTGCCGCCGCGAAGGCGGCGGCGATGGAGAAGTTCGATGATTTGCCGTCGCCGTCGACGACAACTTCATCGTCTTCTTCGTCGCTGTCGTCTCTTGTTTCTTCGGTTGACCTGTCAACTGAGTCGGAGGAGGAACTGAGTGAAATCGTCCAGTTGCCGAGTTTAGGGTCGTACTTTGACTCGGTGGGGCTGAGGAGTGATTTTGTGTACATTGATAACGCGGCGGTGGAGGGATGGACGTTGGACTTGCACCCTTCTCCGCCGTGGGCGGGTGGTGGTGGGGTTATTGACGATGATGGTGGAATTTCTAGCTGTTTCGAAACCTTGTTCTGGAATTATTGATTTTAATTATGCTTTTTTTTTTTAATTTTAATTTTAATTTTCTTGAATTGAGAAAATATTTCTAGCTCTTTTTAATTTTTCATTAAAGGGCACATGAATTAATTTCTCCACCTTTCCATTATTCCAACCCTTGTCTGCTCTTGCTTTATTTTATGCTATGCTATATTATATTATATTATATCAATTTATTAAAATATAAATTTTACATATATGTTTGTGTAATTGTGTACTAGTTTATGGTTAAAATATTAGTAGATGTAATTTTATTTTTTATGTTTTATTTTATTTCTATTTTTATAAGATCTATTAAGTGTATATATCGAATTGTACTAGTATATATATATATATATATATATATATATATATATATATATATATATATATATATATACATATCATCATTCCAAAACAATTTGGTGGTGTCGACCGGTGGAAATTAATTGTTGTACGAGTTAAGTGCCCAGTTTTTGTAGATACTGCACCCGATAAAATACAACATATGATCATGTACTATTAATCTATACATAATAACACATTACTCATGTATATCTGTGTGCAGTCGATAGTTGTTTGTACAGACGTTCTGTATAACAATATTTTTCATTAGGTGTAGCATCTTGTAAAAGTATCGTTTTCGTTCTCGCATATCTATAAAAGGGCAAACAGTATCCTTTTCGTTCTCCACCATTTCTTTTACTTCAATTATTAGTTTCTATAAAAATATTTAAAAAAAAAAAAAACGTTTTTATTCTTTTTTTTTCTTTTATGAATAGAAATAGTACAAGTAGCAGTCAATTTTGTATGTACCATTATTCTACTTCAAGTATTTACGATTGCAACAGTTATCAGCTTATACATGTGCAAACTGCACTTGGAATATTATTATTAATCATTGCCACATTTCTTAAAGTAGATAAATTATATTTACCTCGTGTTATTTTTTTTTTTTTTTTTGGATTTGGCGGGTGAAATTAGGTGTGCAGATTAATTTAAGGGTAAATTACAATTAGTCCTGAAGTAAGGTCTATTTACGAAAACCCTCCTCATATTTTTATAATTATATCCACCCCTTTGAAATTTGTAAATTTCATAGATTAACACCCTTTTGTAGGGGTGGATGAAAGAAATTTACAAACTCGAGGTGTCTGAATGTAATTTCTAAAGACGTAGGATTGTTTTTTCGGAAATTAACTTTACCTGAGGGAGATGGTTGTAATTTACTGTTAATTTAATTTTTGAACAACTTAATAATTTACTCCTCCGTCCCATTTTATATTTCATTTTTGTGTTATTATACATATATTAAGAAAATCAATAAATGTGCATAGGTTATAGTAAAAATATAATAAATCATCAAAATACCCTTGTGATAAATTGTTTTTTAGTTAATTAATTAAGAAAACTATGCAATTGGTGATACATTTAAATACTCGATATCAACTCATTGATATAGTTACGTTCGAGCGGGACATGAGTCGGATTGGGAAATTATTGACCAATTATTTATCCGACCCGATGTCCCAATTTTACTGAAAGCAGAAAACTATTACCAGCCTGATCAGTATATGGGTCGATAATAATTCGCAACTGACTTTATCGAGTATTGATTTATCGAGGTTCCATTGTATGTTATATATAACATATGTGTGTTGAACCAATATATGTACCTCTTTTTGTATTTTCATGCCACACATTTCAAAAAAATTATACTTTTGGACACCAAAAATACAATAATACTCAATCATTAAAATACTTTGTTTTTTCAAACAACTAAAGTTTTGAATTGATATAGTTGGAATTATGTGATACGATAAATCAAATCGCATTATTTGTGGGCTTCTCTAAATAGTATACATATATATTCCTTGTTCATGGTCAACTTTTTGTCTTTCTTTTGACTTTTTTAATCATTCAATTATTTATCTCAAATAAAAAAAAGTGGTGTTAATTCAACATTTCCTGCAAATCAAAGGTCTAAAGTGTAAATAATCCTCAGAACCCATAATATTGATTTTACAACCCAACTACCCCTTGAATAAAATATTTTTCTATCTTATTAATTAATAAATAAGGTTTATTCGTATTCAACACCCCTATGTTAATTGCTAAGAAAAAAAGTCCTCACTAATTTAGCAAACAACCCCTATAATTTATTTTTTTAAGCAAACTACCACCATAAAGTAAAAATTAATAATATTAATTATTAAGTACACAGTATGTATGACATTTTTTTTAACCTTTTTTTTTTTCAAGAATGCCTAATAATATAAAGTACAAGAAAAATATATTTTCTTTAAAAGATAAATCTGTATTTTAATTTAACTCGAGTTTGTCCATTAAAAAAAACTCGAGTTTTTCGCTAGTAAATTATAGCGTTAAACACGTGGTTAATAATTACTATATAATGCCATTTAATACTAATTAACATTTGCAATATGCTAATTATCACGTGGTTAATAATTACTAAGTGCTCTTAAATAATACTCCATATGCATGCAATATTACTCGCCATGCAGATAATAATCATAAAACGTCTTAATTAGTCAAATCATCAATATAATGAACTAATCATTCATTATTCCCCGACAATATTTTGGCAAAATAAAATATTGTAATTAATCAGTGGATTAAGGACTTATTCAGTTATTTGTGATAAGGCGACAAGATCACGATCTTAATAAAAATCTTTTTTTTTTTAATTTTTATTTAGTTTATTATTATTATTTTTGCATGAAAGCAAATTCGAATAATAATCTCAATTGTTAATTAATAATAATTACTGAAAAAGGAAATGGGGCCTCATACAAGACTCGTACTGTATAAATTTCTGCTATATTATTATATAGTATTTTTCACTGCAACTTGACCTAATAATTGCTTCAAAGTATTATTTTGTATAAATAAATTATTTTTTTTTTATAATATTGGGTGGTTGTGAAATTCGTTAATTACAATTTTTTTTGTTTTGTTTGTCTCTAATATGAAATATCACGTTGAATATAATTTTAGCAGTTTAAAATGTTTTGTAAGGTAAATTATTTAATATTAATATGTATTTTCAATAAACAAATTAAATATGCAGTTTTAATATTATAGTCTTGTGGAGAGACAAATCTAAGGTATCAGATATTGTTTGATTTTTTCCGACTAGGCTGCGGTCACTTTTTTTATTTATTTTTTTATTTTTCCCTTTTGATTCATCATTACATATTTTAATAATTAAATTTATTAATATCCATTTACATATGAGTGATATTCCTTCTTTCGTGATTTAAAAGTTATAAAAAGCATATTATTCCAAGCTTAATAATATGATGCTTTATAGTCAATTCATGAATACTGCCATATAGGGTTGGGTGGGGATCGGAGGGTCGGTCGACTATCAGTCTAAAAATCGATCTATCTGACGACAAATCAATGTTACTCAAATTCGAAATTTATTGCCGACTCAATCTTTGTGGGTCGGGAGATGAGTATACCAACCACATAGTTTACTTACAAAAAATCTAAAATTTGGAGTAAAAGTATGCACACTCGGCTTGATGCCATTGTTCAATATATAGTCATTTATCAGTTCAAAAAAATTATTATCTGCCTGAAAATATGATTAATAATGAATCGATTGTTGGTTAAAAACCAATCCTGTGCGAACCCTGCTCCCACACAGATATAAAACCTAATTGGAGGTGCAAAGAGTTAAATATGAAAAAGAAATTATAATATAAGTTACAAGACGGTTTTATTATTGCGACTGCCTTTGAATTTTTGCATATGATGGTGTCACATTTTCTGAATATATTAATTTAACCCCAAAATAAAATAATTGGGAGAATAAATGAATAAGAACAAAAATACTTACGTATATATAATATATAGTTGAATTAACAAATGATTAGTGTGTCCCCCAATGATTCAGATAAGATTCGCTTTAATGCGACTGCTAATAATGTCATTACTACTTGCAGATATTCTTATTATTATATAATCTTAGTTTTAATGATTGTTGTATCTCAATTCTCAATTTAATTTATATTTAAATATTATATCCAAATAGGGAAACATTGAAAACGATAGGTTATTTGACAAACCCTAATCTTCTTTTTCAAGTTACTTGAATCATATATTATTACATAGTAAATTAAGGTAAGTTGGTGGTTTATACATGTCACAAGATTGAATATTAATTAACCAAAAGGCTAATTTAAGATTAATTAATAAAGACTGAGCCAGAATTAAGGAACTCGCAGTCAACAATATAGGTATACTGGGTAAACATACACTCTCTTATAATATTTTGCAAACTATACGAGAAACGTAAACCGCGCCAGAAGATTTGTTTTATGAATTGATTTATGGGTCTATTAGATATAACCCCCTTAAACATTCAAATAATAGGGGTAGACCCAAACTTAAATTTGTCATTTTGATAAAAACCCAAACTTTTCTAAATTACATAATTACCCTCAATCAAATCCCACAAATCTTGTTACTTTACCTTTTGAAATAATATCAAATCTCTCCCTATTTTCCCGTTAAAACACTATCACCACAAACCCACTATCAAAAAAACTGCAAAACCTCCCAAAACCAGAAATTTGCACGGCCGTGGATTGGCCATTTTTCAGCACTCCGACCAAGCCTCCGTAGGTACGTCGTCGCCACTCGCTGAATCACTATCATCCATCGATTTGTTGATATGTTTTGGCTAAATCGACTATCACGTTTGTGTAATTGAAGATCTGTTATAATCGCACACCGAATTCGAGCACTAAATCAGTGATATTGCAACAATTGATGGGCAGGAAATCCACCAGAAGTCATATCGTTGTTAGCCACAGTCGCCGTCATCATCACTGCTCCAATCTAGGGTTACTCAAATCTAGGATTACTCAAATCTAGGGTTTTGATAATTCTTCGGCCCATAGTTGATTAACGAGATGCATAGTCGAATTACATCTGTATTAATGTACTATCCCATATCATTTAATAGACTATCACACTGGTATAATTTTAATATGGATCTCGTTAATCGACTATGGGCCGAAGAATCATCAAAACCCTAGATTTGAGAAGTGATGGCGGCGGATTTGTGTTGTAAAATTAATAGACTATCTCATATCT